TTGTAGCCCAGGATGGACCAACCAACCTCTGGCTTCAGATAGGGCATTTTGCATTTTTGAGGAGTTTTGCGGCCACTGTAGTTTTTTCCTATATGGTTGAAAGGCTGAGTTGTATTCAAGTGGTTGCACACTGGTCCTTTAAGGAAAGAAAAAAGAAATCAATACTGACTGTCAGCAGGACAAACGAACTCAATTCCATCTCCTGTTCCTCACAGACAACAGTCATAATTCACTACAAGTCATTTTCAGGTAAATCTAAGCATGGGATGCTTTTCAGGCTTTTGAACAGACAACCAATATGGCAATTTTTCTGGTGACTGTTGATAAAAGAATATTACTACTACTGTACCGTACTGGACAGTAAAATGTAAACACCTCACATTCAGTAATTACAGCAATGTGTAAGGTAACAATAGAGCATCTTTATAATCATAATCTTCTCAGTTATGTCTTGCTGACAGAGTACAGTAGTACCATGATGATTCAGAAATCTCCACATCCTAATTTAAGCCCCTGTTATGAAATGATCGGCACACTGTAATGAGGACAGAAATAAACCACAAAAAAATCTTTCTTTTGAACTAAAAATAAACAGGATGTTCTATCTGCTCACCTAAATATGGCAGTGAATTATTAGCTGTTTTTTTCTCCTGCAGAAGCTGCCAGTTCGTTTATCATACAGTGGTGGTTGGTGTGTGGGGGCCGAGGCCCAGCAGTTTGCTCAGTTATGTGGGTTACAGTGGAAAGACGGAGGCAGTGCTTTGAAAGGAGAGCGTGCAGTCGTTTAGTTCCGCCATGGTTCTATCTGCCCTCCTTTCTTTGTGCTTCAAACGTCTCTCTTTCGCATTTGGCTCATACATATTAATCTCTCTCTCTCTCTTCCATCCCCCTCTCTCTTCACATGTGGTAATACTATTAAAATGTCTGTCAATGATTAATTCCTACAACATGAATCAGGAGAGAGAGATCGAACAGAGCTGCACCGTTAACTCAGTATCAGCGACAGCCCGGTGTTATTTTAGTTAGCCAGTAGATGCCTATGTTTTTGGCTTTTTTGGCTTGTGACCCCTACAAATATAAAAATGTCTACTAGTGAATGTGAGTTGTCAGTAGTGATGCAACAGTTAGTTGATAAATAAATTGGTTTCCAACTACTAAATTAATCACCAACTATTTTATTAATTGAATATTGATTTTAATATTTATTATTAATTGAATATTTTATTTAATTTATTTTAAGAAAAATTACCAAATTCCCTGATTTCAGCTTCTCAAATATATTTTTTTTCTGGTTTCTTGCGGACAAAGAAAGACATTTGAGGTCGTCACCGTGGACTTTGGGAAACAGTGATTAACATTTTTTTTCTGGACGAAACAACAAATCAATTAGAAACAATGTACAGATGAATCGATTATTAAATTAAGTCAATAGTTGGAGTGATCTACACAGGAGTTGGTTATTTTTAGGAAACAGAAAATATTTCTGGTTAGCACCTGGAATTGAACCTGTGACTTAGATTTGTGTGGCCATGGAGCATGTGCTATAACCACTCAGCTACGAAGGTGCTTTACATTCCTCTCTTAGAATTGTAATGAACAAGATGATGCTGTTTGTGTCTGTGTTTCAGAAGTGATGTGATGTATTTGCATCATATGACGTGACAGATATAGTTATTTCCAGAGAAACTTGAGCTGCTTTTGAGCCACTTTTAACACACTCAAGTAGTTCTTTTGAATGACGCTTTCCTGTAGCTTGACTGCACTCAGAGTGAAGCAGCCAGTAGCTTTTTCAAGTAGGTCACCCGCCTGTCATTTGTGACAATGCTCAGTGTCATCAAACTCTTCCTCTCTCTGTCTCTCTCTCGTCTCTCTTTCCTCTAATCTGGTCTTCTTTCCATTCCATACCGGTCAGGCGTGGCCTGGCACACAGATGCGCGAGTCACAGCTTGACTTATCAAATCTTGGACGTGCTGTCCATAAAGAGTCAGCAGCTCGCTTCTGTGGTAGCTACCAGTCCAGTGGAGTGTTACTGAGTTCTGTCTGAGTCGTACTAAGATCATACACAATATGATTTCTGAGGAGACAATCTGCCTTCATTTTCACAGCTGGAAAACCCTGCAGAAGAACTCTAACTGCATCGCCCGTGAATACTACTTGTAGTGTTAGAGTAATATACTAGGTAATAAAATGTCTTGATGTTCATCATGTTCCAGGCTTAGACAGGGCTCTACTCGTTCAACAGAAATCTATCTTTACCGCCTTATAATTAATCTACTCTGGAGTCTTGCTTTTTCTTAATTTTTTCTAAAATTCGATTAATTATCTATTTTCTGTCTCTTCTGGAAATTGACGTTATATACAATTTGTTGATCTTGTATCAAGTTTTTTGGACATCAAACCAGATATAGTGGCAATGTTGCCAATGTTTGTTCGTCGTGGATCTCCGCTAACCTTTTTAACGAAGGTAGAAGATACAATTTCGATTAACATTCACTGGTTTAGGTCTAATGTTCTAGTGATATTTGTGTATTTTGCTCAATTTAGTGTTGTCTGATACTTCAGGTATTAATCTTGCATCAGTGTTGCTAATAAACACATTTTTACTACTTTAATTTTTATATGCAGGCAAAATATATATTACTACAGCTTGAGTCCTGGTGTTGTAAATAAGTATTTGCTTTGTATACACTTAGCAGGTCGAGGTGATACTAATATACTACATAGCAATTACGTAAATTGCTATATTGGGTTTTATATTTATATCAGTTATATCTCACTATAACACATTGCTTGGATTGTCCTGTGATTCCACAAAGGGTTTTTTTTTTCAAAGCAAACAAACTTGAAACCAAAAAAAACTTTTTAAAGAAAAATTATTTTTAACAAAACCACAAAAAAAAGGATGGCCGAAGTTTGGTTCTTTTAAGGCGTTGGGAAACCCCTTAAAAGGATCCAAATTTTGGATGTTTTTTTTTTTTGTTTTTCTCCTTTTTCGTGGGGTGTTTTTTCGAAACCCCCGAACCTCCTTGGTAAAAAAAAAAAGGGAAAACAAAGAGTGAGGGTTTTTTTGGAGGCTTTTGGGTGGGTAAAAAAAAATCGAAAACCCTGAAAAAATTTTTTAATTGTTATCACTTGTTTTTTAAGGGAATACAAAAAAATAAACGGTTAAAGCTTTTTTCCCCTCGAGCGGGTTCCCCGCCCCCCCAATATGTAAATAAGGGTTTTTAAGTTTTAAATAATAAGCATGAAAAAAAAATTGGGAAGGTCAAAAATTTTTGTGCAGATTTTTGGCAATGTTTTTAAACTTGAAAAGAACTTTGCTTTCAAACCCTTGTTTTGAAAGGAAGAAACCAAACCTTGTTGGAAAAAAAGGGAAAAAAACCAAAATAACAAAAAGTCCCCTTTGTGAATACTGTGTGGGGGGATTACCGGAGGAACTACCAAGTTTTTGCTTTTGGGCCGATATAAAAATAATTGAATGAAAACTCCCCTTGTTTTTTTCTTATTAGCCTGTCCTTTTTTTTTTTTTGGTTTATTTTTTTTTTTTGGTTCCTTGGGCTGACTTTTGGGTTAAGAACCCTCCAAACATTGGGGCGGGGGGTTTTCAAAAAAAAAACAATGGTTTTGGGACCCTTCAAAAAAAATGGACCACATTGTTTTTTTTGGGTAAGATTGAAAAAAATTGAAAAAAACCCCTTTGTCTTTTGAAAAAAAGGTTTTTTTCCCCTTTAAAATATTTTTTGTTTTTTTTTAGGTTTGAAATTTAAATACACTAAAATAAAAAACATACCCTTTTAATTGAATATTTGTTTATTTCTTTTAATTTTTTCTTTGCCAAAAAGAAAATTTTTCTTTTTTTTCCCTAAAAAAAAATTTGTTACCCAACATATTTTGGAAGAATTTTTTTTTTTTTTTAAAGGGGTTTTTTTTTTTTTGAGAAAAGTTTCCAAAATGGTTTTTTTTTTTTGGGTTTTTTTTTTTTAAAAAATTATTTTTTGAAAAAAAAAAAAAAGGTTCCCAGGTTTTGGGAAAATCACAAATTTTAAAAGCACCACAAAAAGGGAAATGTTTGGGTTTTTTTT